TTGTTTTTGATCTCTAGGATGGCTTTGTGTATTCTTTTATTATTAAGGATCCATATTACAAAGTAGAGGATTTTCTTCAGGTTGAAGAGCCTGTGGAGCATTTGATGTTTTCTCCCAGTTACAAAATGTTGCTGATTCAAACAAACAAGGTATGCTAGATGGTGATTTCTTAATAAGAAAATCTCAGATATTGTTATCATCATTGCATGACAGGAACAAAGGGCAGAGTATGCTGCTTAACGATACTAGTCAGGACTCAAGTTGCAAATGAAAAAAAAAATTTTAAAGACCTTAATAACAAGGGAATTTTTGTTCGTTTTGTTTTTTTTGCATGTAACTGAAAGGGCAAGGAGTTGATCTGAATCCAGGAGCTCCCATAATACCACTGGCCTTGTTTTTCTATTATCTGCTGTCTCCCTTTCCATGCAGACTTTCCCCAGTGGTGTCAAGAGAACCCCCTGTAACTCCAGTTTATATTTCTATCTTCCTGGTGACTCTGGTGGAAAGATACGAGATGGAAAAAATGTCCTAGAATCTAGACTCATTGTACCAAGTTGGGTCACCTCTCTCTCCATGGGTCAATCATTATGTCCACATGGATTCTAAGCTCTGATTGGCCTGGCCTAAATCACATGCCTACCCTAGAATACTGGGTAGAGTCAACCCACCCAAACATGGACTGAGATCTAACATATGTTTGAAATTCAGAGAGGAGAGAGAGTCGGGCAGAGGCAGTATTTAAAGAGATATTTTTCAGAACTGATTAAAGACATACATTTACAGATTCAAGAGGCCCAGTGAATTTCAAGCAGGATTCATCGAAAGATATCCCCACTTAGTGAAATTAATAAAGTGAAATTGTTGAAAACCAAAGACAAACAGAAAACCTTAAAGGCAGTCAGAGAGAAAAATCAGATTATTTCAAAGGAATCTCAATTAGCCTAACAGGTGGTTTTTATATGGCAATAATGCGAGTAAGAAATAATGACTACATCGTCCATGTAGTGCAGGGGTCAGCAAACTACGGCCAAATCCCTCAGGAGAATGTAAGCTGCATGAGGGCAGGGACTTCTTGTCTCTTTTGTCCTCTGATGCAGCCCCAGCATCCAGAACAATGCCTGACGCAGTGTATGCACTTAATATTTGTAGAAGTAATAAATGAAAGGTAAAATCAGTAAATACCTACCAGATTTTAGACTATACAGAATTTTATTTTTTATATAAACAAGAACAAAAATTATTTGTGTTTAACTCAAATAAACTTGAAGAATTTGTAATGAGTAGAAAGCAGACTTCTTAGTGCTAGTTAAGTGACCATACCATATTATAGTTTCTTGGCAGAGATGCATAGCTTACAGGATAGATTTTTTTTTTTTGAGAGGTGAATTTGGGAGCTGAGAATGGTAAGCAAGTCATAAAGTGACAGCTTTGGTCACACCTCCACAATTACCACAAAGGCTTATTAAAAGTTCTCATTAATGTCCACCATGATTTAGTATGTGATAGGATTTAGTTCATCTTAACAACTTTTATGGTTGTCCACGTTTTCCAAATTTTATGCATCAATAGACATTATTTTTAAAATCAAAAGAAAGTTTTTTGTTATATTTTATAACTTAAAAAACAAATGCTTGGAGTTGGAGAGAAGAAGAAAGTCCTACTTATTATTTTAAATGATGAATAAATCAATAAAAAAAATTAAGCATCTAGATTTTAAGCTCCTCAAGGTAAGGGCCTTCCTGAGTTGATCTCTAACATTCCATCACCTATTCCTACACAGTGCTTTGCTCACAGTGGGTGTTT